CCGCTTTTTTTTTCAGGCGGGGGTGGAGGAAAGGAAGGAGCGGCAGGATTCCTCTAGATCCCCCAAGTCCTCTTCCGCGTCCGCCAAGCAGCCTCCTCCTCCTCCTCCTCCTCCCCTCCTCCTCCTCCCCCGCCCGCGCTTCTTAGCTCGGCTTTCCTCCGCGCATCCGCGCCCGGGCGGGGAATCAAGCGGCGCGCTCCAAGCGGGAGAAGCCGCGGCGGCAGCGGCGGGAGCCTTGGAGCGCCCGGCCCGGCTGCCCGGAAAGAGAGAGCGAGAGGTTCCTGCAAGGCCGGCGGGGAGGCTCTCGGGCGAAGCGGGGCTGGCGAGACGCGGGCGAGGGGAAGGGGCGCCGCCGCCGCCTTCTCTCCTCCTCCTCCTCCTCCTCCACCCCGCTTGGCTGGCCGTCCTTCTCCCGCTCGGCGCTCGGCAAGTTCCGGGGCGGTGGCCGGCGAGGCCGTCTCCGCCCCTGGAGCGAGGGAGGCGGGAAGAGGGCTGGAGGGCGGCCGCTGGAGGAGCGCCGCTGACCGGAGTGGGTAGGGGGGGAAGACCCCCCCCCATCCGCCTTGGGGCTCCGAGCGAGGCTTGTCCCGGCCGAGCCGGCTTGCTCGACGCGCGGAGCCCTTTTTTTGGCCGGAGCCTGTTGCGCGCCACCGGCACGTGCGGAGGAAGCGAGGTTCCCCCCCAAACCGGCCCTTGAGACTGACCGGCGCGACGCCAAGATGGAAGGACGAGAGAAGGGAGCAGAAAGAGACACAGAAAGGAATGGGACGGATGAGGAGGGGAGGGGATAGAATAGAGAATAGGGTGGAATGGAACAGGGAGGAATAAAACAGAATAGATAGAATAGAGAGCAGACATAGAAATGAAATGGAAGGGAATAGGATAAAACAGAACAGAATAAAATGGAATAGAATGGACTAAGAAGAGAAATAGACTAGTAGAAACGGAGCAGAAATGGGAATGAATGGAATGGAATAGGGGTGGGATGGGATAGGAGAGAATAGAATAGGAAATAGAGTGGAATGGAATAGGACAGAATAAAATAGAATATAGAGCAGAACGACTTCAGCAACAGAGAGGTCAATGTCTGGAATACTCTACCTGTCTCTGTGGTTTCTTCCCCAAACCCCCAAAACTTTAACCTTAGACTGTCTACTATTGACCTCACCTCTTTCCTAAGAGGTTTGTAGGGGGCATGCAATAAGCGTACCAACCTGCCTACCATCCCTGTCCTATTGTTTCTTTTATTTTTCTTATATGTACCCATTTCATGTATTCATAACTATGTTTATACTTATCCCTATTATCTTAATCACATGACTAATAAATAAAGTAGCATAGAAATGGAATAGAAATAGAAATGAATGGAATAGGAAAGAATAGAACAGAATAAAATGGAATAGAATAGAATATACTAAGAAGAGAAATAGACTAGTAGAAATGGAACAGAAATAGAAATGAATGGAGTGGAATAGGGATGGGATGGGAAGGAGAGAATAGGAAATAGAATGGAATAGGAAAGAATAGAACAGAATAAAACAGAATAAAACAGAATATAGAGCAGAAGTAGAGTAGCATAGAAATGGAACAGAAATAGAAATTAATGGGATGGAATAGGAAAGAGTAGAACAGAACAGGAGTAGAATAACTTTATTGTCACTTTGGATGTACGCTAATCAGCATACATTACAATGAAATTTTAAAGAAATGAAAAACTCTGGACTTGAGTCCCGCCAATGATCCCAGTCTTGGGCTTGTTTCAGGGGGTTACCTAAACCTTCGGACGAGGGTCAGTCCAGCGAGCCCACAGCTGCATCAAAGAGCTGAGGACCCATCTCCAGGATAGCCCCCCTCTTCTTCCCTCCCCCCCCCAGCTTTCCATTCTGCTCCTTCCTGGAATTGTACTACGATGCCCATCATCATCGTCTCCTTAGGGGGAAGTCCCACTCTTAGTCCTTGGTCAGAAGATGCTGAGCCACAAACCCTGGCAACTATCTAGGCTGGCCAACAGACCTGGCTTCTGGCTGGCCGAGGAAGAAGAGGAGCAGCTGGCTTGCTGGGGGCCAGTCGCAGGCCTTCCGCAGACTTCATTCATCGTCTCTTTGGAGGGCTTTCACATGTCTTACAAAGAACTTATCCCCTTCTTGCCACCATCCTCTAAGGTTCTCCAGTCTTCCCAATCCCATACTGGATCCGTTCCATTTTTCCATGATGGTGCTCTGCTCCTTGCCTGATGCAAAACTTTACACAGCTGTTGAACGCCAGTTCTCGGATTTTCACTTCAGGAGAAACAGATTTAGCAGATGATCAGACTTGGAAGGGACCTTGTAGATCATCTAGTCCAACCCTGCACCCAAGAGGGAGACCCTACACCATTTCTGACAGATGGCAGACCAATCTCTTCTTGAAAGACTCTAGCGATGAAGCTCCCACAACTTCTGAAGGCAAACTTGTCCATTGGTTGATTGTTTTCACTCTCAGAAAGTTTCTCCTTATTTCCAGGTTACATCTCTCCTTGTTCAGTTTCCATTGTTCGTTGTCTGACCTTCGGGTGCTTTAGAAAATAGCTTGACCCCTTCCTCCTCCCAGTGGCAGCCCCTCAAATATTAGAAGGCTGCTATCATGTCTCCCTTGGTCCTTCTCATTACCAGACTAGCCAAACCCAGTTCCTGCAACCGTTCATTGTATGTTTTAGCCTCCAGTCCCCCTAATCATCCTGGTTGCTCTTCTCTGTGCTTTTTCTAGAGTCTCAACTGTCCATGAGCGTGGAGATTCCTAAGTCAGTCAGCAATTTGTAGGAGCAAATTCCAATTCCGTTTTTTTCCCTTTCCTAGACAACTGTAGATTTCAACGATGCCCATAAAAAAACATGGGAATCAGAGGCATTGGTGAGGCAGACACTTATCCCGATTCAAAAACAAAAGGATAGAACAACAGAGTTGGAAGGGGCCCTGGAGGTCTTCTAGTCCAACCCCTTGCTCAGTCAGGAAAGCCTATGCCATTTCAGACAAATGGTTGTCCAATTTCTTCTTAAAAACTTCCCAGTGTTGCAGCATTCACAACTTCTGGAAGCGAGTTGCTCTAGACGACACCTCTTCGACAGCATCACTGAAACTGATGGTATGTGGGTTTTGCTAAACTACAGAGGAGTTAAGAGAGGAATTATAATGTATTTGGAATCCTTTATTGTCCGTGGGTGATGGAGCCGGAACACTCTTGCATCTGGAACAAGTCAAATGAGCAAGGGTATTTATCCTGCCGCTGTCTCTCCCGCTTGATTTGTCCTGGATACAATTACTCTTCCTTCTCCATCACTCGGGGACAATGAGTGTAGTAAAAGCCTCATTTGTCTGTTTTCTAGAGGTTGCTGATTTACTGTTGACCCTACACCAAATTGGACCCCAGATCTAGTGCTGTGTTCAGTAATCAACTCTGGAGTCCTTTTTAAGGGCTTGTGTAATTATTTCAATCCAAGCAGGTGGCAGTTCTTTTATCTTTATACGGGTCCTTACTGTGGCAGCCAGGATTTATTCTACTCCCGCCTTTCATTCTCAAGTACTACTAATAAACCCACCTGGGATGCAAAGAGGCTACCTGAAAAGAAGACCCTGCTAGTCAGGTGCCAAGCCTTAAACCATCTCCACTCGGAACATTTTGTAGTCCAAGCCCTTGGCATCGCAAGATGGTGGATGTGCCACGGAGGGTATGAAATGCCTTCTTTTATGACAACACGATAGGCAGAAAGTTTTGGAAAGTTCGTTTATTCACTCAGGAAAAAAAAAAAACTGTACAAATATTACAGGCAATTTTCTTCTGCTGGAAAAAAGTATAAAAATAATCTTTTTTATATGAATCAAAACTCATTTCTCTCCCTTCCCCACCCGCAAACATTTCCTCTATTGCATCTTTTGGGGGACGTCACCCAACGGGTCAGGGGCGCAAGAAGGTGACAGCAAAGAGAAACGAAGTTTCGGCTGCTAAACAGGAGCAGGCCCAAACCACGTATAATAGACAGGAGGGGATGCAATGGAGAGAGGCCTGTGTCTCGCTGGGGACAGCCACACAGAGCCAGAAGAGCAGCTCAGAAACCCTGCAGGTGGAACGGTGTCCTTCTGGGAGAGGCGAACAGGACTCCAGAGTTTTGGGGTTTTTTGAGACAAGTCATCTACCTGGAGGCAGAGACGAATGCTCCTAGGCTGGAGAGGTGAAAAATCTCTATTTATTACATCTCTATTTCCTACCCAGAAAAACTCAAAAGTTGCTTTTGTGGATCTTTTAGCCCGGTGTTTTCAACCTTGGTGTGGTAGCTTTAAGACGGGTGGACTTCAAGTCCCAGAACCCCCCCCAGCCAGTATGTCTAGCTAGGGAATTCTGGGAGTTGAAGTCCGCCCATCTTGTATCTGTCAAGTTTGAGACACCCAGCTTTGCCTCGGTCTCCCGAATGGAAATAGAAACATTCCCTGATTACAGGGGGTGGAGGGTAAGGGAGGGGGGATCAGGGTCAGGCCTGCCCACTCACATTGAATCCTTCCGCAATTCTAAGTAGCACAATTCATTCAGTCCCCTCAAAAGGAGATTTTTTTTTTTTCTTTCAGCCAGGCAGTTCAAGGGCTGCGATGTGGGAGAGCTCCCCCCACTTCGGATCGGAACCCTTCCCGACCGACCAGCCCCACTGCGAGGAGGTGGGGCGCCTCTTCGGCACCTGCGACAGTCTTAGGAATCAGGAAAGTTGAGGTTCCGGGGTTTGCACGCGGTGTAACCCACGAGGCCGACGGGTGGTGGAAAATGAATATGGCTTTCAAGGGGGTGGGGTGGGGGAGTTCGGAAGTGCAGGACTGGGGAGGGGCAGAAAGCGAGGGCTCCTTCCATATGTCCTCGAGATCAGGGGAAAACCCCCGATGGAGAGGCTGAGGGTGCGCCGGTTGGAGAGAAACGCGGGAAAGGACACGCCGTGGTTAAGTTCCAAAGAGAAGTCGGACAGCGCCAACAGCACCGGCAAGGTAATACGTCTAGCAAATCGCGAAGGGAAACATCGCACCCCGAAAAGCCCTACTCTAGCAGCTACGGAAGGAGGACACGCCAGGGAGGCTCCCTTCGCTGTGACTAAATCTCCTCCGTCGGAGGGTCCCAATGGAGACATCGGGGGAGGGAGGGAGGGGCTTGAGAGAGAAAGCAAGCCTCCCAGTTAGTCCCAGCCAGCTCTTCCCTTCCTGATGCAGCACAGCTGCAGATGGGGGGGGGGGGGGAAGGAGGGGGGGGGACAACCCAGGACGGTGCGTGTGCAAAAGCAGCTTTGGGTTGACAACAGGCAGGTAGGTCCCACCTGCTCGAAGTCCCAACTTGTTTCTGCACACCTCCTTTCTAACAAAATCCTTTCTGAGTTCTGACTCTTTGGAGGAAAAGTGACTGTGCAAAACTGGCACCTTAAAAACAAAACGCGCTCACACGCAAACACACACACACACACACACGAATTAAGTCTAGGCAACCTACAGGGGGGGGAAAAGGGCTTCGTGCTTTGTGTTGAAAAGATGGACCAGGAGGGTTACTTGAAACGCCACTTCTAAGCACATTAAAGAAAAGAAAAAAAGGCAGCTGAGAGGCCCACATTCCATCATGCCCAAAGCAGACAATTGCTAAAGAGAGGCCGCCCCGTCGTTTGAATTCTACGAACGAGCCAAAAGAGAGGCCAGGGCTGGATTTTTTTCCCCACACACACACACAAACCACCTGGCTCCGTTTTGGCTGTTCTGTTGGTAATTAGGAAGGAGGGAAGGAGGTGCAAAGTGCCCCCAGCAGTGCAGGGATGCCAAAACAGGCTAGAAGGGGACTCAAGGAAGCGCTTTTACTGCTCGGCAAGATTCAACAGCAGGTGCCTGGGAAGGAGGCCCACTCAGGATCCGTGAAAGGACAAAGGACGGGACCAAGATAAGCCAGGGAAGAGGGGAAAAAAGAAAAGGAAAGAAGAAAAAAGCTGGAGACAAGACTCTCGTCCTGATTGGTTTTCGGTCTAGACCCGAGCAGCTCTGTGTTTCACTCGAGCACTAGCGGACAAAGAATCCAGAATGAAGAGTTTGGGGCTTTCCCCCACATTCCTTTGAGACAAGTTTCCTTTTTTAAAAAAAAAAAGGGGGGGGGGGGAATCCGTATCCCAAAGTCCGTCCATCCAGGCAGTCAAAAGTCAGAGGTTGAGAATCGGGACGTCGAAAAGGTCACAAACCCCTTCGCTCTCATCCAAGTTGTAGATGTAGTCGTGGTCTCCGGGAGGTGGGGAGAGGCGGAGTAAAGGAGCAAACACTGCCGGGGGAGGGGGGGGGAGAGAAAAAGAGACCCTTAGGACCCTTAGGGGACTCTTCCGACTCAGCAATCCCACAACCCTTAGCCCAATCTTCCTCCACCTCAGCAACTTTTAAGACGACCGTATCCCAGGATCCCCCAGCCGGCCGTGCTCGACTAAAACAATGCGGATTTTTACAGCTGCGCTCCCTGGTTTTCTATGCTATCTGATGTGGCCTCCCCTCCAAACCTGGGAGCGGAAGAAAATGCAGTCCTACCTTCAGAGGACATCAGCTCTTCAAGCAACTCCGAATTCATGCACTCTGTGGGAAGAAGAAGGTGAGAGACATTTACGTGCTTGCAAAATAGGTGAGCGTGTAACCCAGTGCCCCAAATTTGAGACGGGGCAATTCTTCCAGCCCATCTTCTTCTGTCTCAGGTCTCAATTCGCGCCTCGGTTGACTACATAGCACTAATAGGGCAGATTCTGCAGGCTCCTGCACGAGCAACATCAAAACAATGCATTTTTAGCAGCTGCTTCTTCTTTTCTCCAGGGGGGGTTTGGTTTATGCAGGTAACCAAATGAAATGTCCCTGATATGTCCCTTCAGTAAACAGGTTTAAAGGTTTTAATCGTCCAGCACTTGAAGTCGCCCTTAAAAGTAGAAAACCGACACAAGCCAAGAAAAGTGCTTCCTTCTGTTGCTATTCTACAAGGGCCCAACAGGGGGGGCCTTAATCAAGTTTGCGAAACGGTACGTCTGACTTTTCTGAACTTCTAAAGGAAAAAAAAGGCAAAGCACAAACAAGGTTTGCTACAGGGACACTAGCAACGCACCTCTGGTTGGCTCAAACATTTCTGAAAGCTCTTTGGGAAATTCCAGTACTGGAAAAAAAAAAAAAAGAACAAAGGTTGCACATCTTAAAGACCAAGGCAATTATTGTGGCACAGGCTACCTCTGTTTCCAAGTCCTTCAGGTGTTCGGGGGCTGCCGTTCCCCATATGGAGAGAGAGAGAGGAATTTTGGAAGCAGTAATCCCAACGTAGTCAAGAGCCCAGGTAGGGAAAAGGCCAAGATACAATTCCAGTAACCGCAGTCTGCTAAGAGTCCTTGTTTTTATGTCACTCGAAGATTCTCATCGTCAATACCCATGGTTTCCCAGCCAGGATCATTTTAAGCCGCGCGGACTTCAAGTCCCAGAATTCATGCTTGCTGGAGAGTTCTAGGAGTTGAAAGTCCACACAGCTTAAAAGTTGTCCTGGCTGGGAAACACTTATCTGCACAGTTCATTTCTCCTGGTGGTTGATCCCACTTCCTCTAGCTCAGCTTCGTTTTAGAACAGGGGTCTTCAAACTTGACAGCTTTAAGGCTTGTGGACTTCCAACTCCCAGAATTCCTCCTCCAGTCATGTTAGCTGAGGAATTCTGGGAGTTGAAGTCCACAAAGTTAAAAGTCTTAAAAGTCTTAAAGTTGCCAAGTTTGGGGGCCCTTCTTTTAGAAGAACATCTGTGAAAAGGAGCCAGTAAGAGACTGTCAAACACACCCAATAACTTTGGAATTAAAAAAAAACAAAACACACCCCATCAAAGTACAATGCAGGAGGTCAGAGCCAAACAAACTCAGGTTCTGTCAGTTTTGATCCATCCTAGCTGCCCACCCGATAGCTGGAAACCCAGAGCACTTACTTTCTGTGGGGAAGGACTTGATTGGCTCGAAAGAGGTAAAGGAACTGGGCGAGACAGAGCTGCTGTCCAGCAAGGCTGAGGATTGGAGGGGCTGCGTATCAAGCCCAGCTGGCGGGCTGGCCGGTACGGTCGAAGGGGTAAGCGAGTCCAGCTCCACACTACTTTTTGATTCTGCTGTCGAGGTGCCTGTCTCTGCGATGAGAAGAGGGTGACAGAAAGATAAATTATTGTTTAAGCTTGCATGCCACCCAACCACCTATTGCAGGAGTCTCCAACCTTGGCAACTTTTAAGACTTTGCTGGCTGAGGAATTCTGGGAGTTGAAGTCCTAAAGTTGCCAAGGTTGGACACCCCTGACCTATTGTGTAGGATGGGATTCCACACAGCTAGCAGGCTCATAGCAACCGTCAGGAAAAGTGCTTTTAAGTTCAATCGATCATAATAGAGCTGCAAGGGACCTTGGAGGTCTTCTAGTCCAACCCCTGCTCAAGTAGGAGACCCTATACCATTTCAGATTCAGTGTTTGTTCAGTCTCTTCTTAAAAGCCTCCAGTGATGGAGCCCCCACAACTTCTGAAGGCAACTCGTTCCAACTGGTTAATTGTCCTGCAAGGAAATGTCTCCTTAAATCCAGGTTGCTTCTCTCCTCTTGGTTAATTTCCATCCACTGCTTGTCATCTTGCCTCCTGGTGCTTTGGAAAATAAGTTGATACCCTCTTCTTTGTGGCAGTCTCTAAAATACTGCGACACTGCTGTCATCTTCCCCTTGGTCCTCCTTTTGTCTAGACCGGCCATACCCAAGCCCTGCAACCATTCTTCATGTGTTTCGTCTCCAGGTCCTTGATCATCTTAGCTGCCCTTTGCACTTTTTCCGGCCTTGTAAAGAAACCCCCCGTTAGCACCCTCCCATTACTCTACGGCAGCTCAGGGTAGGGCATATTGATAGTCACTGCCCCGTTGCCAAGTTTCTAGTGCAAGGGATGGTCCAAGCAGGACTGTTAAAACAGGTTCCTGTCTCATCCAGATTCCCAATTTTCAAAATGAGTGCTTTTATTTTTAGAGCAGAATTCGGTCGCTTCTCCAAGAAAACCTCTCCGAAAGGATTAGCCGACCTCATCCCAGCTCTTCTGATGTGAGGTTTGCCATCTAAATCCCAGGTAATCTTTCGTGCCTGGGGATGCCTGGCTTGGAATATGTCTGATTGCAAACAGGGCCAGAAAAGATATTTGCATACTGGAATTACAGATTAACTGAGTTGGAAGGGACCTTATGGAGAAGATGCCATTATTTGGATGGAGAAAAGTAAAGGTCCACAACAAACCTTTTGCTCAATAGGTTTCCTGCTAAGAAACGACGTGCCACGATGTGATTTTCATCTCAGGCTGTAGCAGAGATTCAAAGGAGGATGAAAGGCAAGGAAAACAGGGCAAGGACAAAGTGGACCCCAAATTTGGTCCTTGATTTCACGGGACTCTGTTTCTGCAGAATTAACCTAATTTAATCAGGATCAGCCTCACCTTCCTGGAGGTGCCCTGGGAGCCAAAGTTCTGAGTCAGAAAACGTCAATAGCATAGTTACTGGCCCACTTTTAAAATAGGCGTTTAAACTTCAACGCAGGCTGTGCTTTTCACTCGTCCCTTTAAAGCTCACCTGCCACGGCGGCCGATTGGGGCACGGAGGGCCTGTGGTCTTGCGTGCTGCTGGGCACAGACCCAGGAGGGTTGGCACCGCTGGGAAGAGGGGTCTCCTGGGACGGGGGAACGGATGGCTTCTTAGAGGGAGTGATTGGCTGGCACTGAATGAGGTCTTCCGGGGGAGGGACAGGAAGTACCACCGGAGGAGAGCTCCAGGCATCCTTGTTTACTAGAAGAACATCAATGGAACCGTTGCTGCTCTTTAAGTGGATCTGGTATTTCCTCTGGCCGTTTAAGCCCTAGAGAAAAAGGAAAAAAAGAGAGGTTGAATGGACGCAAGTGTACGAACGGTATACGGTGGTGGTATCAGTGCAACGGCGCCATCAGGTGTCATCACAAGACTGGAAGGAAACCATCGGTGTCAGTATGGAATTCTTTCTCCAGGTGTTCTCTATGGACAGGTGAACCCCAAACCTTCCCGCCACCACTAAAGGAGAAGCCCCTCTCAATTCGTTGAGCCCCACATCCAACCAGACGCTTCTTGGAGAAAGTAGCCTATCATGCCAAGTGGAATGGGGGCAGCTTAGCTCAGTACAGTTCCAGGCACCTTAGAGCTAGCCATTGTTTTAACTAGAGACCCTAGGAAAGTTGAACATGTGGTCCGTGCAGAAGTGAATCCGTTAAGGCCCCTTCGGCCAGGGTCTCCCAACTTTAAGATGCAAGGACTTCAACTCCCATGCTTCCCCAGCCAGGGGACCCAACCCTGGGAGTCGGAAGTCCACGTCTCTTAATGCTGCTCCTGTTGGGAAATCTTTCCTCCGGCCAAAGAGATATTTCTACAAACAGCAATAGTCCCTTGGGAATAACCCACAAAAGACTTCACGCGGATGGGACTATTGAGTTGCTTTCTTTTTCACCGCTGGTTTTTTTCTTTTCTTCCTGGTATCCTTTCCTGGTATCCTCCTCCTCTTAACTTTCTTCTTTCTGCGCCTCAATTCCCTGGAGAGCGAGCGATGTCAGACTGCTCCTGAACGTATCTGAATATTAATGGAGTACCATTTTTGATCGGTAACTTTTCTGCAGGGGGCTTTCCCCTCTTTTTGCTTGCAACCTGTCAAATATGTTCGGCTGCAAAAGGCCCTCGGTCATTGAAGCTGCCGCATGCTGACTTCTTGGGGAGAGCCATAGCATCACCAAACATCTGCACCCACCTCAGGGACAGGAACTTCTAGCTGGGTTCCTGACGGAGCTCGGATGGCCAGCAATGTGTCGCCTGCAACAAGAAACCAAAATGCTGCATTCAGGAAACAGCTGAGCAACACAAAATTACGCATTCTTTGCTTTTCCTAACCCCAGCCGGGCAGTGTTTTCTGTTCCTAATTGCCAGGAAGTGCCTTCCCATCTCCCACACTCCCAATTCTACCCAGAAATGCACATCAAAGATAAGTTGATCCAGAGAAGGACCAACTCCCTTGCAAAGATGTTGCAAGGGTGGAATTATATTAAACAGGCAGGGATAGCAGGGATGAAGCGACACGCCATCCTTACCTGGGAAGCACTTGCAAAGATCCTCATCTGTCACATACGCTAATGTTCCTGAAGTTAAGGGAAAAAAACCCAGCTGCCTCTGAACCTCAGCAAGATCATTCCCCTTCCCCCACCCAATAGTATTTTTTATTTCTTTTCATGACCCTGTAATCCCTTTTTTATTGGGGTGGAGTCAGGGCGGCTAAATGGAACTGAGCATTTACTGGCCAGACGCCCTTCCAGAGGCCTATGAGGAGTTCGCAGCAATTGATCTCTTGTGTCTTGATAAATACCTGTCGCTGCCCTAGGATTGAACTCTCTCAATCTGGATTGTTGAAAATCAGCAGTTTTCTGCCATTCCAAGATAGATGCACCCGATAAATGTAGCCTACAAGTCTCAATCCTGTTAAAAATTAATCCTCCTTTTGTCCTACCCTCTCACCACCAATCCTGGAAAATTGGAGCCCAACCAGTTTGTACTGTTCACTGTGGCTCTCCACTGGAAATATACCAACAGGCTACCAACACAGGAAAAACATCTAAGGAAGAACTAGGGAAAAATCAGAGCACGGATGAGAAAAAAGGATACTAATTTGAAACACAAGGAACATTATTATTTCACGCTATTAGGACAGTGGGATAAAAAGCCTTTTCTAATCGGATGTTAGCTGTTTTCTATTATCCTGGGCAAATTAGGTTACCTGCCTAGAAACATTTCTATCAGAAAACAGCGTGCATTAAAAAAAAAAATTGTCCTACACAAATTGGCATAAATGATGTAAGGATGGGTGATGCAGTCGCTCTGAGACTACAAATTCCAGAATTCCCAGCCAACGACTGAATTCTGGGCACCGCCATCCCAAATATTCAGGAGGTAGAACTGCAAAGCTAGGCCAGACCAGAATCGCCAGAAAGGATCTGCATTTGAGCATCAGAGAAACGCGAAAGCGGGAAGAACCAGAGTTGACGCCAAGGATATTCGTTGTTCTGTACATCATCGGTGACATTCCTGATACTCTGCTGCACCCACATCTTCTGCTGTTCCAGCTCTCGTTCCCGATGTTCCAGGTCCTCAATCTCTGCTTTCAACTCAATCAACTTGTGGGCAATTTCTCGGGTATTACAGCCAGGCCCCACACCTCTGACGAGAACGGGAGAACAAGAGAAATCAAGGGATCCGCCCTTTTCAGAGTGTATTAAGAATCCCATATCAATGATCATTTCAATCACACATACTGCCTGCAGAAGGCGGCCTTTTGGTTTTTCTTTTAGTTCTATCTTTTCCAAAGAGAATTCAGTGACACCCAATGCACCCGGGAGAGAACTCAAATATCCTTTTCCAAAGTTTTTCTCTGCATTATTATGTTTTCCCAGGGGGCAGGGTGGGTGGGGAAATCCATTAATAAAAGTCTCAAAAATTCTCATCCCTGGAAGATCAAGTACCTGGTCAAAGCAATAGGACTGAACTTCCTCTTTATCACTCCTGTATGTATGTAGATGTAAATGTATATATGGATGTGTATATTATACACAAACACACACACAGAGTCACTCAGCGGAGCTACTGATAAAATTCTTCCAAAGCTAGCTTCAGAAAAACATTCAGACACACACACATCCCAGCTGTCTCAAAGGTGCTTGTTCAAAAGGCAACTGGACTTTGTTTTTATTTGAAGACATTTCACTTCTCATCCAAGAAGCTTCTTCAGTTCTGACTCAATTCAGTCAGCCAGTCAGAACTGAAAAAGCTTCTTGGATGAGGAGCGAAACGACTTCAAATAAAAACAAAGAAAGCCCAGTTGCCTTTTCAAAAAGCACCTTTCAGACACCCATGACCTGAGAAGTGAGAAATTCCATAGAAACCCCACAGCTGTTCAGATAAATTCTTCTGCCTCTGATTCATACAGGGGAGTGGCTAACAGTGAATGCAATTGCAGCCCCTTCCATGGAAGCTAGTGCCAGGGCTTCTCTATCGCCCCCCCCGCCCCACCCCTTACTCACTTCCACTGAATACTGTTCTTCGATTTCTTCTCGATAAGTCCAATGCCCTCAAGGACGTTTGTAATATCATAAATACGTCTCTTTTGCCGCACTGCCAGAGTATCTGCTGCCTGCAAAAGCAAACAAACAAAAAAGAGGTGAGTTCAAAGGTGTAACAAAAAATACCTGGACCACCACAACACAAAAGCTACGTTAATTACATCCCACCCTGCTTGTGAACTTTCTCAAGGACTCGATCTCAATTGCTCAGGACAGGTCTGTTTTAAAACTGAAAAATGCCAATCTGTTTCATGAATGATTATTCTGGTGTGAAAGTCAAACTCATCACCAAATCACAAAGCAGCTGCAACGACCACAAAACAGAGCACCTTATGCAAAAATTAACTGTTCAGATTAGGGTAATGCTCTTACTGCTTTGTCAGTTCATTACCAAATGGTTGCTAATTAAGAAACCTTGTTTCTTTGGCCTTCTGTTTGTTTGGATTCCATTTTGTTTCCTGCATGCTACTGCAAATTAATTTACATTACTTGACATGGTTCAATCATTTCTCTTTTATCCTAGCTATGTATATAGAAACCGAAATGGCAGTGCTCTCCCAGCGAACATTGACCCATTTTTTTTTATTTTCCTGCAATACATTAGATGAAAGCGCCATCCTGCACGTGGCTATTCACAGCACATTTTTCAATGAGCTGAACAAGAATGACCCACAGATAAAGTATAGGATTTATAAATTTTTATGATGCAGAAGAAGGAAGATTCCCACTCTTTGGATTTGACAAACCCTGTCCATACTTCTACACAGGTAGATCCCACTGAATGCAGATGAGCTTACTTCTAAACAAGCACACCTCACATTGTGCTGCTGTGATATTTATAAATGCTGTAGCAACACTTCCCATCACAGCTGCCTTTTGGAATAAATACAGATAGTCCTCAACTTACAACAGTTGGACCGTGTAAAGTTATAACGGCACAGAAAAAAAGTAACTTAGGGACCGTTTTCACACTTCTATCCATTGCAGCACCAAAATTCTGATGCCTGGCAACTATTTATGTCCGTTGCAAAATCCCGGAGTCGTGCGATGCCCTTTTAAGCAAAGTCAGGGGGGAAGCCAGATTCATTTAACAACCTGTCATTAGCTGAACAGCTACGGTGATTCACTTCACTGTGTCAAGGTCATAAAATGGGACAAAATTCACTTGTCTCACTTAGCAACAGAAATGTTGGGCTCCATTGTGATTCTAAGTCGAGAACTACCTGTTCTGTGTAACCACCACAGGTTGCTGCTGTTAATCTACCCAACAGAGGACTCAGCAGCTGCAGCCTTCCAGATGTTGCCGAACTGCAGCTCCCAAGACCCAGCCCCCATGGCCAACGAGGGAGGGTGCTGAGCATTGAAAGGGCCATATTTCCTATTATTCACATGGGAATTCACCCATGCTCTGTTAAACCTCAGCTGTGGTTCACAGCACAAAGAGGCAACTTCCTGCCCGGCTCCCTTGCTTTAAGTTCCCTCCATGTGCTTCTGGGGAGAAACCCGGCTGTCCCTTACTACCAACTGTCCTTAGTTTCAAGAACTTTGGGGCTCTTTCCTTCCCCTCCCCACCAATAAAATCTAAAATCTTCTGCGGAAATCTTAACTCGCCCAAGCCTGGCTAAGAAAGCCTGCACAGAAGCCCAAGGAGCCGTTGCAACGACCGCAGCAGCTCTTCATCACCACCGCGAATCTCTTCTACCTGTAAGTTGTCGGCAGAAGGATGCGGGCAAACGGATTCCCTCCTGCCCAGCCGCCACACAAAACACAGCCATCGCCATTCGGGCTGGGGGGGGGGTGGGAGGTCTTGCGTTGGCAAGCATGCAGGTGGCGGGGGGAGTTGTGGGAGGAGAGAGGAAGAAAGGGATCCCACCAGCTGGCAGGAGGGGCGGGGGGGAGAAAAGACAAAAGCCGACTGCTGCAGCCGTCCAAAGGGGATGCTGCCCCCGCTATTGCCCTGCTGAGGCTGGATGAGGGAGGGAGGGAGGGAGGGAGGGAGGGAGGGAAGGAAGGAAGGAAGGAAGGAAGGATCATTAATGATATTAGCTAATTGGTTTATGAAATGAGCAGCAAGGGAGGGGAGGGAGAGGATATCCCCCCCCCATAGCTCTGCTGATGCTGGATGAGAAAAGGAAGGAAGGAAGGAAGGAAGGAAGGAAGGAAGGAAGGAAGGAAGGAAGGAAGGAAGGAAGGGGGTTAGTTGGTTTATGAAATGAGCAGCAAGGGAGGGGAGGGAGGGGATATCCCCCCCCCCCCCCCCCTCGGTGGGGGGAGGATGAAAGAAGGAAGGAAGGAAGGAAGGAAGGAAGGAGGGAGGGAGCTAATCGGA